AAACTTGAAGCGCACGTGAGAGACAACATAATAAACATCCTCCGGGTTTCAAGCCATTAGTGTACAATTTCAGGCAATTTTTACCGCGGGTAGGGTTCATAGGCGTCTCCCTGGGGAGAGAACACTGACTCTAAGAAGAAAGGACGAAAAGCCACATTAGTCACTTTTCGAAAAGATGGAAGCTTTGATTCCTACATGTGATTTCTATGTAGATTTAAAAGCTAACCTGGCCTGTCGCCATCCTTTGCCCTACTTCCAATCTGCGAGCGGGCCTTTGGACGGTGGTCCTGAGGTCGGGTACATTTTGCCCTCTTCCCAGCAGGAAAGCTCTTATTTATTTTTTTTACCTTAGGCCTCGGTCTCTTGATTGACTTTAAGGTCCCAACAAACATCCACTTTATTATTGGAAGATATTTTAGGCTCTGCAGGTATTTTTCTTTAGAGCATGATTTAATAGCACTATTGGTCAGAGCTGACTTGTATCAAAAGAAATGCATGGAAAATGGTAGCACTGGACGGCTGTGAATTCTTGACTCTCTGAGGCTCTCTCTCTCTCTCTCTCAATCTCTCTTTCTTGGAGCAAGGGCAGGGGTGGTGGTGGTGGGGTGCGTAGCCTTCGATATAGTTTCTTGTGTTCGAGCAGCTTAGTAGCTATTTAGCAAACACCTGTTTAATTGTAATTTAAGATAAGGTTTGAAACTTGCCCCGAAAGCCTTGCAAACGGTAAAAAGGAATAGAAAGCTGTCAACCTTTCTGATACTGATTGAAAGAAGATACTCTTTCTTGTAATTTCAGTTGAAATAGCTAGTTTTCCAATTCTGCACGCCATGGATTTAATCAGCTAAGTCTAACAAGATTTTTTTTTTTTCTGTTTTTTAGAGCAGTGATTCAGGCAGGGCAATTTTGTCCCCCAGGGGACATTTGGCAATGTCTGAAGACATTTTTCGTTGTCACACTGGGCGGGGGGCATAGTGGGTAAAAGCCAGGATGCTGCTAAACATCCCATAATGCACAGGACAGCCCGCATCACAGAGAATTATCTAGTCCAAAATATCAGTAGTGCTGAGGTTAAGCAGCCCTGTTCCAGAACAGAGGTTTCTAACCTTGGGTGCACATTAGAATCACCTGAAGACTTAAAAAAAAATTCAATGCCCAGGTGCTCTCCAGCCCAGATAAACAGAGTCATTGGGTAGGACAAGGCTATACAATTTGTCGGGTCCAGTACAAAATGAAAAAGTGGGGGCCTTTGTTGAAAAAGTGTTAAGGATGTTAAGGCAGTGACAACAGAGCATCAAACCAAGTGCAGCACCTTGTAAGTGTGGGGCTGAGTGTGAGCACACAGGTCCTACACACGTGTAGTTGACACTGTTCTGGAGGGTGACCTGGGCATTGATAGTTTTAAAAGCTCTACAAGTGGACCAAAGACTGACAGACACCTCACCAAAGAAGACAGACAGATGGCAAATAAGTATATGCAAAGATGTTCCACATCATATACTATAATAGTATCAGGGCGATGCCAAAAATACCCCAATAATTGAGATACCACTACATACCTATTAGAATGGCCGAAATCTAGAACACTGACAATACCAAATGCTGACAAGAATGTAGGGCAACAGGACATCTCATCCATTGCTGGTAGGAATGTAAAATGGCATAGCCCCTTTGGAAGGCAACTTGGTAGTTTCTTACAAAACTAAACATACCATATGATCTAGCATTTGCCCTGCTTGGTATTTACCCAAAGGAGGTGAAAATTTACATCCACACAAAAAACCTGCACATGGATGTTTATAGCAGCTTTATTCGTAATTACCAAAACTTGGAAGCAGCCAAGATACCTTTTGTAAGTGAATGGATAAATAAACCATGGTTTATCAGTGGAATAATATCTGTTCAATGAAATGTTACTCACAATATTCCAATGGAATATTATTCAGTGCTATAAAGAAATGAGATATCAAACTGAAAATACATGGAGGAAATTTAAATGCATAGTATTAAGTGAAAGAAGCCAATCTAAAAAGGCTACATACTCTATGATTCCAACTAGGTAACCTTCTGGAAAAGGCAAAACTATGAAGACAGTAAAAAGATCATTGGTGACTGGGGTTGGGGGGGACGGAGGGTTGCACAGCAGGGCACAGAGGATTTTTAGGGCGGTGAAACTACTCTGTATAATGCTATAATTGTGGATACGTGTCATTGTACCTTTGTCCAAACCCAGAGAATGTAAACACCAAGAGTGAACCCTAATGTAAACGATGGACTTTGGATGATAACGATATGTCAGTGTAGGTCCATCAGTTGTAACAAATCTACCACTCTGGTGATGGATACTGGTAATGTGGAGGCCATGCCTGTGTAGGGACAGGGGATACATGGAAATCTTTGTAAATACTTTCCACTTTGCCGTGAGCCTAAAGCTGCTTTAAAAAAATAAAGTCGCTTGAAAAAAACGAAACTCTCCAGGTGATTTCAATGTGCAGCCAGTGTCAGGATCGCTGTTATTTGGTTTTTATTGCCTATCCTTCCCATAGCACTCAGTTTATGTACGTGGTATTGGCCCATGTATAACTCCTCTTTGTATTGGACACGGAATCTCACAATCAATAGATGCTGAATGAACATGGCTGAATAAAACACTCTACTGTTATTCCTTATCATCTATTATGAAGCCTTATGTGTGGAGAGGTCATTCAGGCTTTCCAAACAGGCTTCAGCGTTCATGGTTTTGTTTGCTGTTCACATCAGTCATGTGGTTGCCGGGCAAGTGTTAGGACATTAGTCTGTGGATGAGGAAGCAGGCTCAGAGCAGGTAAGTGACTGGCCCATGTCACACTCCTGTGAGTGGCAGGGCAAGGCCTCCAGCCAAGTCTCCTGGTTCTCAGGACAGGGCTGTTCTCCACGTGTTATGGGAACCTTCTCACTTTTACACCAGGTTTCTAAAGTATGGTGCACGTGCCCCTTGGTGGCATGTGGCATGGAAGTCAGGGCACAAGGGGTGAACTTTAAAACAAAACACGTTTCCTTATTTATTTAATATGTATTAGAAAAAAATAGCATATCAAGTCCATAGTTTGTATTACTGCTGCAGAAAACGTTAGATTCAAATTGTAAAAGTGAGATGATTTAAAGGAAAATATTAAGCAAATAACAGCAGAGGTGGTGCAAAGATATAACAAAGCTTTTGAATTACCTACTTAAATGACAGAACTATGAGAAACACTTTAAATCTTTGTAGTTTAAAATGAGGATACAGTGAAATAATATTGTGAAAGAGCTTTGTAATAGTAGGCAAAGCACTAAAATTGTTGTGGTTTTTGCACCCTCACTCCTTGAAATTTGCCCCCAGTGTATCCTACCAGACTGAGTCTTGGCCTGTTACTGGGCTCTGATTGGTACAGAATGCTTTACCATGGACCTCAAGTGACCATGCATGGTTGAAAGAAAAGAAAAATACGTAAAATGAAATCTGTAAGTCCCCTATTTCTGGCTTAGTTTTCCTTGTCATTATATATATATATATATATCAAATTCTAAGATGAATTCCCAAATTGTCTGGAACAAACGATTAGGAACTTTATAATAATAACAAATCCATTCTCTGTCTAGGACATATTCAAAGTACAGTCTTCACATTCATACAGTGAAAATCTTTGTATCCATTAAATGTGATGAAAGATATATATTCATTGGCATATAAGGACGTTAGTGTTAAATGCAGGGTTCAGAGGAGTAGGATAGAACATATTTATATGAGAAAGAGAAGGAAACATTTCTGAGAGGATTGACCCTGGGTGATGGGATTGGGTTCATTTCTTTTGCTTTTAGCTTATCTGTCACTTCTCATTTTTTCTTTTTCTTTTTTTAAATTGAAGTATAGTTGATTTACAATGTTATGTTAGTTTCTGGTGTCATTTTTCTATGATGGACTAGATTTCAAACTCAGGGAATACTAGGTAAACTTTTAAGACACACTTGTACACAAAATATACTAATTCTGCGAAAGTCAGATGCTACGTTCCCAGTGCTATCAGACGTGATTTGTATGTGTTGTGAGATGCTGATTTCATGATTAACACATTGTAGCTGGAGCCAACAGTAGGAGGAAAGACAGATGAAGCTATGGATATAAAAGGACATTATAAAGTGTAAAGCCCTGTACGTTGAAAGGGATTTTGAGCTGGAACCAGGAGAGTGAAGGACAGGCTCTGAGTAATGGGGCCTCATTTGGTGCTGGTGGGCGGTGAGCCTGGGGGGCTTTGTCACCATCACATTGAATTCCATCCCAGCTAGCGTTAGGGCCGCTCCAAGGAAGTGTTGGCTTTTCATAGAATCTGCCTTGCCTTCCCTGGGTTTTGTAATGACATTTTGGTGAAAATATCACAGAAGCATCTTTGATTTGTGGTTCGGGTGGGTATACCTGCTTCCTCACTCTCTCTCCTGGTTGTTTTTACAGAACCACATCTTAACTTAATTCTCTGGCTGTGTTTTCAACAGCACAGTCTACTTTCTGGTTGTCAGAGGTTGTACATCCCCTGAGCTAGAAAGCTTTTTGAGAGGTGTTTCGTAAGTGGGATTCCCTTTTTTTTTCAGTTATTCTTTTCAAAGCTTTGAGCGATAGATAGAATATATGCATTCATGTTTGCATAATACACGGTTGGGAAGGTAACCATTCTCTGCTGACAGTATTGATTTCTGATGAGTGGGGATGACAGGAGACTTTATTTGTATATTTCAAGTATTGTTTAAAAATTATTTGCATATTACTCGTATTACCTATACTCTGTATACATAAAAATGTATAAAGTAAAATAGGAAGCAAGTAGACTTGGATATTTCCATTTAGTCGCTGAAAAATCTCCACGTGTGTCTATATGTGCAAGTGGAAGGCATGCAGGAAAGTAGTAAAGGAAAAAGTAAGCTCCGATTTGAATTGCCTTGTCCAGATAGTGACACTCTGGTGGTGTGGTTGAGAATTGGAACACACTCACCTGTGAAAGTCTATCATCCTCTGAGGTGTCCTTATGCCACTGCAAATAGCCAACGTCACTGCGGGTCAGGACCCCACATAACGTTTCCTGAGACTTTCCTTTCTGATAGCCGTTAAAGACGTGTGGACTGGCTCTTCCAGTTAAAATCATGTTCAGAACTGCCTAGATGACACATTTTACAAATATTTACATTTCAGGTAGTGATGACACAAGGACTTAATTTCTTTTTTCTTTTAATCATCATAAAATGTATCATTTTTAGTGAAAAGAATGAAATCCCACAAAATATAATTCTGGGAAAACGTATGTCATGAATGTTTGGTAGTGTTAAAACAGGAGTTTATTGATTTTTTTTTCTTGAGCTATGCCCCATAACTCCCCATGGGACCTTCCTCCCTTCATATTGTTTTTAAACTTAGGTTTCCATAGTTGTGATTGAAGCTGCATGAAGCTAAGAAGTTTTCATAGTGCTTTTCTTTCTGTTATTAGGGACTCCTGGGCGGTCTTGTCAAGATATTTTCTAATGTTTCTGGAATCTCAGGGATGGCAGGCTCTCAGAGGTAAACTAGAAAGGACTGTAATGGAAAGTGGAAAGATAGAATCTGATAACAAACTCGGGGGAGCATCTTAGTTTTTCAAAGATAATTTGATCACTCTTCACTTAAGGAGAGAATATGCTTAGTTGAAAGGAAAAAAAAAAAAAGCCTAGGGCTTCCCTGGTGGTGCAGTGGTTGAGAGTTCGCCTGCCCCGGTCCGGGAAGATCCCACATGCCACGGAGCGGCTGGGCCCGTGAGCCATGGCCACTGAGCCTGTGCGTCCGCAGCCTGTGCTCTGCAGCGGGAGAGGCCACAGCAGTGGGAGGCCTGCTTACCGGAAAATAAAAAAAGCCTATTTGAGATGCTACAATAAAAAGGCAAAGTCTTCCAACCCACCTGCCTGCACAGGAAACCTCCAGCATTTGGTCGTAGCAGATGAGTGGTGGAGACGTCTAGGTCCTTCTGAAGCCTGCAGAGTGGGAGAAGCCATCAACACTCACGGACGGTGATGCTCCAGGGACATGCAGCCTCTCCTCCCTCCGCCCCCCCAACGCAGAGCAGCAGTGACTTGGGCTTGCCTGGTCACTGTCCTTCCCATGTGCCTGGCACGTTTCCATCTGTCACTGGGAAAGCTTCTAGGACTGGGGCTGCAGAGGTGATGGGGCAAGCTCTGGATGCCGTTGGGGGAAGCCAGTGATAAGTGGTCAGGGAGGAGGACGAAGCGACAGACCTCACACATTAGAATCCCTGGGTGTGGGCTCCGTGTGGGTGCTGGGCTCTGTAGCAAAACTGTTTGCGCTGAGTGCCAAGGGACACTTGACTTAGGGTGGTGACACGTGACCCCTCCAGAGAGTGCTGGCCCAAGGCAGAGTTGACCAGACTGCTCAAGTGGAAACCACCAGCTGGGGAGTTAAGCCCATGTCTCGGCTGAAGCCTCTACTGTTTCACCAGGGCCAAGGGGTCAGGGTTCCACCCAGGACAGTATAATATCGAGGTGGAAAGTGGCTCGTGTTGTCGCCCGGAGGGAGATGCTGAGCTCTAGGAGCTGTATGTGTTCTTGAACGAACCTGTTCACAGGACTGGAAGGTCAAGCACTTCTGTGAATAAGACCTAAAGACGTGGGTCAAGCATCAGATGTAATTCAGGGCAGTGTTTCCTAAATGATGGCATGATGTTAGGTGGTATAGATATGAGCATTAAAAAAATTTACAGTAATGTGTTTAATACATTTTTTCTTTAGCACAGCAACTACGTGATTTAGAGGATATTAACGTTTAAGAAGACGATGATATCTAAATGTGTGTTGATTTTGAATTTTTTCATTTTTTTTTGGCCGTGCCACACAGCATGCAGGGTCTTAGTTCCCTGACCAGGGATTGAAACCGTGCCTCCCCTGCAGTGGAAGCACAGAATCTTAACCACTGGACCACCAGGGAAGTCCCAAGTGTGTGTTGATTTAAGGACATTGTTAAGCAAATAATAATATAGATCATAAAAGTATGATATGCAAAAGACAGGTTTTCAGGAACTGCTTCAAGGCTTGAAATTCTTCCTTTCTGGGGGTCCTCTGTTTCTCTCTCTCTGACTCTCAAAAGCTTACCCTTTTCTCAGGGTCCAGAAGAAAGTCTGTTTCTTCCCAGAAGCCTTCCTTGGCCACCTTATCTGTTGGGGCCCCTCCCTCCTCAGGAATCCGTTAAGATTCATTGTCTCTGTACTTCATTTGGCACGTTAAGTACCACCTGGGACTGCTCAGTCTCTCTGTGTACCCCTGGTTTTTCCCAAATTGGAACCTGCAAGGAGGTCAGGGCCATATTCTCTTTTATTGGTATTTCCCACAGTGCCAAGGGCTTTGCATTTCATAGGGACAAAATAAATATTTGTGGATATATATTTTATTGTACATAGAAATCATAAAATATTTTCATTTATGAAAACTGTACAAATAAGCCTGAGTGGTATCTGCCAATATTTATAACCACAAGAAAAAGGAACCTACTACTGTGCTAGAAAAGTAGATTCAGACTTTTCTGATGACATCCACTCTCCCACGAATATGGCCAAACTGACTACAGAAAAGGATGAATCAACAGAAGAGTGTCCACTAGAAAAAAATTGCACTCATGTCTCCAATAAGGCATGAAAATATTTTCCAACACGAGAGCATTGTTTATGTGACCCCAGAGCTATAGGAAATACCTGTGCAAATATTTGTAGAATTTACCTTTCAAATGTTCTGGAGAAGATCAGGCTGTAAAGAAACAAGATGACACCATGGCTTCCTTCTCCTTTGAACTATTTGAAAAACAAAGGAAAAACACGTTTGCATAAACACAGTGCATCTCTGTGTATCTGTGGGCATGAATTCAAGGATTTACACCTGAGAGATTTTTTTCTAGCTGCCGAAAGGACCATGGGAGCTCTCTCTGCTTCTCTAGGTCACCTCCACCCTCAGATGCATCCTTTTTCCTTGCTTCAGGTGTGCCAATGGCACCATCATTCTCTTGGTTTTCAACCCATCTTTCCTCCACTTCTATCATGTGATTCTCTTCGAATCATGGCTAAGACATAGTGTACACTTCCTCTCCATTTTCCAGCGTCTATCCTAGCTCAGTTCCTCAGAGCTGCTCTGGCTGGCCCTTATCCAGCCTCCCTCCATCAGTGCATCCTTCCTCATCATCCTGTTAAGCTCAGGGGGAGCAGAGAAGCTTTCTAGAAATAGCTTTGGACTTATACAAACCTGAGTTCAAAACCAGTTCTACTATATTAACTCCAGCTTCTTTAAGTTTCAATCTCATCTGCAAATGTAGGTAAAAAGACCCTTTTCCTAGGATTGTTGCAAAAGTTAAATGAAATAATGCACAGGACCTACCGTAGTTCTTAGAACATGCTAGAACCACAGCAAAATTACTGTCTGTCCCTCTCTAAGGCACTTCTCCCTGTCTCTTTTCCTGACCAGGTTACTCTTCTGCTCCAAACTTTCCAAAGGTGCCCTGTGAGCTCCAGGATAAAATCCATCCTCATTCAGGGCCTCTCACTGGTTGGCCTTATCTTAGCTTTGTGTCAATACTCTACCTGCAGAAAAGAAGCTCCTTGGCTGGCTTTCAAGGTGCCCAGGGTTAAAGCCTCTTCTTTAAAGTCATTATATCAGGAAGCCTTCTGCTAAAATGCATGCACTTTTCCTTTTGTGGATTAATTTGTCCCCTTCACTATCTATGCCCTTGCAGGGGCTGGATCTTCAGGCAGGAGAAGAAATTTCAGTGCCCACAGAAGCCAGATGGGAACCCAAATGGGTGTACGCCAGGACGTGAGGGAAACGGGGAGAGGTGGGGCCCGAGGCAAGGGACAGCACTTGTGTGTCAGTTTCCTGCTGCTGCCTTAACAGACGACCACAGACGTGTTGGCTTAAAACCACAGGAATCCATCATCTCACAGTTCTGGAGGTTAGACGTCCAGCTCTGGTGTCACTGGACTCCATTCAAACTACTGGTTGGCCTGTGCTCCTTCTGGAGGCTATGATGTCTCCTAGCCTTTTCCAGCTTCTAGAAGCTGTCCTTATTCCTTGGTTCATGACTCCACATCACATAGCCTCTTCTCCTCTGCTTCCCTCATCACATCCCTTTTTCTGAATCTCCTGCCGTCCTCTTTCTCTTACCTTATGATTCATTGGGCCCATCAGAAAAATTCAGAATAATCTCCCCATCTGAGATCTTGAACTTAATCACATCTGCAGAGTCCTTTTTACCAGTTAGGTAACATCATTCAGTCCATCACAACTTGTCTAATGGGAGTCACTGCTCCCTTTACCAGCTGATTGAAGACATGCTAGAATACAGGCCTAGTGCTGTCAGAGTTTCTGATTTTGGGTGGGAGTGGGGAGGACGTAAACATTTAGTTTTTGTGTTTTTTTTTTGTTTGTTTTTGCTGCTCTGTGCAGATTGAGGGGCGGCTTCACCTTAGTTCCCCGACCGAGGATTGAACCTGTGCCCTCAGCAGCGAAAGTGAGGAGCCCTAACCACTGGACCACCAGGGAATGCCCGAACATTTAGGTTTTTACGTGGAATTTTCTGATTTTTTTTTTTTTTTTTTGCGGTATGCAGGCCTCTCATTGTTGTGGCCTCTCCCGCTGCAGAGCACAGGCTCCGGATGCACAGGCTCAGCGGCCGTGGCTCACGGGCCCAGCCGCTCCGCGGCATGTGGGATCCTCCTGGGCCGGGACATGAACCCGCGTCCCCTGCATCGGCAGGCGGACTCTCAACCACTGCGCCACCAGGGAAGCCCTCTGATTATTTTTGAAGTTCACCAAGTCGAGTTTTTAAAAATACAACACCATATGAGCTAATGCTGCAGATCCTATGTAATAGATGTGTTAGTTTCCTAGACCTACCCTACAAATGGCCAGAAATTTGAATGGCTTGAAACAGTAGGAATTTATTGTTTCACAGTTCTGAAAGCTAGAAGTCTGAAATCAAGGTGTCAGAGGCGGGCCATGCTCTCTCTGAAGGCCTTAGGGGAGGATCCTTCCTTGTATCTTCCTAGCTTCTGGTGGCTGCTGGCAGTCCTTGGTGTCCTTGGTTTGGGACAGTCTCTGCCTTCATTATCACATGGCATTCTCCCTGCATGTGTCGGTGTCTATGACCAAATTTCTCTCTCCTTATAAAGATACCAGTCATTGGATTAAGGCCCACCCTAATCCAGCATGACCTGATCTTAACATGATTACATCTGCAAAGAAACTCTTTCCAAATAAGAACACATTCACAGGTACTGGGGGTTAGGGCTTAAACATATCTCTTTTCTGGGGAGAGGGGAGATGCAATTCAACCCATAATAACAATAGGCCTACTGCCCACATGTAACCCTCAGACCTCTAGCTTGTGATCTCTGCCTGAAGACAGGGCACAGAACTGCTTCATTTTGATAGTGAATGGTGTTTGGTAAAGGTCTGGATGGGGGCTGATCACACATGCAGCCCCGGTTAGGGAGTGCCCTTCAGAGGAGTATCTGTGCATCAAGATGCCCCCTCACTCAGGAAATGGTGCCAACCCCCACATGGCTATGGTAATGGTCAGCTTGGGTCCGCTTGACACCACTCTTGTGCAAAGCCCACCTGCACCATGCAGTCTGATTCTGCTTCCTTTCATTACTTATTCCAGCTCAACTCTTAGTCTTTTTTTTAAATTAATTTTTATTAATTGAACATTAGTTTAAAAATTAAGTAGAGTTGATGTACAATGTTGTGTTAGTTTCTGCTTTACAGCAAAGTGAATCAGTTATACATATACATATATACCCTCCTTTTAAGATTCTTTTCCCATATAGGTCATTACAGAGTGTTGAGTTCACTGTGCTGTACAGTAGGGCCCCATTATCAACTCTCAGTCCTTGAGGGGGAAAACCTATGTATAGCTCTAGCTCTAATCATCTTATTCTCAACTCTGGCTACACTTAAGAAGTCCTTGCAGATGTGAAAGACTTTCTTATTGAATCAGACTCTCCCCCAGGTCTGAGATGAAGAGATTGAAGACAGAGAGGAAAGGGTTTGCCTCTGTTTGCTGGCAGAGTCATTTCTTACATGGTTCCTCTCCGTGTAGCCCCATTAAACATCTCCCTCTACCACAAAAAGTCCCTAAGCAGGCTTCTAGCTTAACATTTCATGTCAGGTATTTAAAATCTATCATATAGCTTCCATTAGTTTCGTATTGCTGCTGTAACAAATTACCATACATTTAGTAGCTTAAATAATACAGGTTTATTATCTTAACAGTTCTAGAGGTTAGAAGACTGAAATGGGTCTTACTGGCCTAAAATCAAGATGTTAGCAGCCCTGCATTCTTTCTGGAGGCTCTAGGGGAGAATCTGTTTCCTTGCCCTTTCCAGCTTCTAGCAGCCCTGCCCACGTTCCTTGGTTCATGGCCCCCACCTTTGACCTTCGATGCCAGCAACAGTGGGTGGTACTCTTTTCACATCACATCAGTCTTCCCCTGTCTTACGCCTTCCTCATCCACATTTAAAGTCCCTTGAGATTACACTGGGCCCACCCGGATAATCCAGGGTAATCTCCCTATTTTAGAGTCATCTGATTAACGAGTTTAATTCCTCTTTACCATGTAATGAAACATTCACAGGTTCTAGGGGGTAGGGTATGGACATCTTTCAGGGGACCATTCTTCTGCCTACCACATAGACCCAAGAGAGGGTGGGGGAGGACGGTCTGGGGTAACTAGTTTAAGCAAGACCATGTAGCTAGTGTGTGACTGAGAACTCATGCCCAAGTTTTCTGTCCCTATGACCTTTGAAAGGAATGGGGTTGTGAGTTTCATGAATCAAATTTTCCCTTTCCATACAAGCCACATTTATATGGCTTCATGGTTACTCTAATTTTCCTCTGCTACATTGTAAGGTTCTGATTCTTTAGAAAATCAACTTTCATTTCTTTATCCACAGAGGAAACTTAAAAAAGCACCTTCCTGGGGCTTCCCTGGTGGCGCAGTGGTTGAGAGTCCGCCTGCCGATGCAGGGGACACGGGTTCGTGCCCTGGTCCGGGAAGATCCCACGTGCTGCGGAGCGGCTGGGCCCGTGAGCCATGACCGCTGAGCCTGCGCGTCCGGAGCCTGTGCTCCGCAACGGGAGAGGCCACAACAGTGAGAGGCCCGCGTACCGCAAAAGGAAAAAGAAAAAAAAAAAAAGCATTTTCCACCATCCCTATCCCCTACTTTGTGTCCTTCCCACACAGGAGGTGGGGGAGATTCATTGCAGGGGAGGGCATTGTGTGGAAGGTGCTGATAGAAGACGTGAAAGGGGGCCACCTTTTTTAGACTGGCAGTCATTTTTCTGAGCCAATGTGAATGGCCGTTTGGGCAATTTAGACTACCATTTTTGTGTTTTATCCCTTAGATGAGGCAAGGCTGCTCTAACATTTTCTCTTCCCATAAAAGCAATCTTATTGTATATGCCCTCTATAGTATTATTCTCTGCGTTTAATTAGCCAAGGAGAAAGAGGCATTTGTGAGTGGGCCTGTGTGTGATCTGGCCTCTTTCTAGATTGTGGGGAGGGAGAGACAGGTTTCTCTTTCCCTCGTTCTGCCCTCTCTTAGTCCTCAAAATGACCTGCTTTCCTTAACAAGCATCATTAGAAATACACTTTATAAAAGGAAGAAGATTCCTGTACGATCAGTTCAACATAAAGGAATTATCTCAACACTTAAATACTTACACACTGTACGTGATCATAGATGAATTTCTCAGTGGCTTCTTTCTCTAAAAGTTCAAACAGCTGGAGCTATAAATCAGAAATAGAAGATAAAAATGAAAAGGAAGATGAAAGTTACATCTAGAAGATGTCAACTCACTGTTAGTACCTCAGGGGAGTTCTTTGTTTCATTGCAAAATCACATTGCTAGAAACTGACATATACACAAGGCCATGTAAAACATACATGGTAAGATTGGGTGGCCACTGGCCTCACTTTTACATTCCTCAGTTTTAAACCAATATGGTATCTTGAGCAGGAAAACTGTAAACAGATTTTTTCCCTAATAGGTAGCATTTAGCCAAGTTTAGAGGAGTGGCTATGGAAATGGAGTTTATGATAATTTCAGGCATGGGATATTCTTTAAAAAAATTTTTTTTTGTTGAAGTATAGTTGATATACAATATTATATAAGTTACAGGTGTACAGTATAGTGGTTCACAATTTTTAAAGGTAATACTTCAGTTATTATAAAATATTGACTCTATTCCCTGTGTTGTACAACATACCTGTAGCTTATTTTATATATGTGTGCACCTCTTAATCCCCTCCCCCTCTGTTGCCCCTCCCCTTTCCCTTTCCCCACTGATAACTACTACTTTGTTCTCTATGTCTGTGAATCTGCTTCTTTTCTGTTGGGTATGGAGTATTCTTGATCATGGTGAATTCTGGAAGGAGAAATTCACAGCAGGCATCTCTCTTTTGGCTGCTTGGATTACTTATGCCCTTGATCCTGGCCTCTTCGGCAGGTACCTTTGGCCACATCAGATGCTTACATCGTGGAGGTCCACCCAGGAGCCTCAGTTCCACCTCCAGTTCCATGGCGAGTCTAATACTCACCCAGGCTTCACCATCCTTTATCTGGTAGGACAGGACGGGCAGGAGTGCACTCACCCGTTCAGTGAAACCGTCCCCAGTGTAGTCAGGAGTCGGGGCGACGTAAGTGTCCTCGGTGACAAGGCAGATGGTGGCTTTCCGAGCTGCTCCTGCGGCCCACAGGATGCCTGCGAGCGCCGCGGCCAGCGCGTGCTTCTGCCCCTGCTTGCTCATCGCGCACAAACTTCAGCCCGGGGGGAGGGTAGGAACGCATTGCAATGAGTGCCCCCTAGCTGAGGGCCTGGGCCTCCACTTTCATGGACCCTTCTGAGTATAGGATGGGTCAGTTTGGTTCCTTCATCAACCTACACTGCGAGAACATTGTGGAGGGCCTCATCCTCTCTGCCCGCACTGAATGGGCATCCTCACCCCAGAGCATTAATCCTCTGGTTTCTCCACTGATCCCTCCCTGTGCATTACTGCCCCTGCTGAATCTCAACACTGTCTTCTCTCCTGAACTCCAGCCAGGCTCCATCCAAACTCTCTAACCTGATAACACAGGCCCTTCCCGAGTGCAACCCCAAACAATCCTTCTGTTTTATCTCCCAGGTTTCCATTTTGCAAACCCTCTGCCCCAGATGGACTAGTTCCCTAGACATAGTTTCTGCATTCTACCTCCATGCTTTTTCTCATGTACTTGTCTGCCTTTAATATGCAAGTTCTGTCTGTTCTTCCTGACTGATCACGTCCTAGGCCCACTTCCCCCTTACTAACTTATAGTTTACACTCATCTGGTACTCACTGGGCCTAGAATTGTTCTAAGCACCTAACACATATTACCTCATTTAATCCTTATGACAACCTGTGAGGTGGATGCTATCAATATTATTAGTCCCATTTTTAGAGATGAGGAAAGTAAGACAGGGGGTTGAGTACTCTGCCCCTGGTCATTCACCTTTAAAGCAGTAGAGCAGTGATTTGAATGCAGGCAGTGTGCCTCCTGACTTAACCATTAGATGGTTCTTAACCATTAGATTCCATCAAATAATCCCAGTGGGTGAGAATTCCCCGGAAATGGGAGCCAATCTTTACATCACAGACCTTTCCTATGCTCACTTTCTAAATGTTTAACGTTGACAACTGTCTTCCTGGTGAAGAAACACATGACAGAGGTTAGTGAATGAACTCAGCCATGATTTATAGCAGCGGTCCCCAACCTTTCTGGCACCGGGGACCAGTTTCGTGGAAGACAATTTTTCCACAAACGGGTGGGGGGGTGGCTTGGGGATGATTCAAGCACATTACATTCATTGTGCACTTTATTTCTATTATTATTACATTGTAATATATAATGAAGTAATTATACAGCTCACCATAATGCTGACTGGAGGTGGAGCTCAGGCAGTAACGCGAGCAATGGGGAGCGGCTGTAAATACAGATGAAGCTTCGCTCGCTCGCCTGCCACTCACCTCCTGCTGTGTGGCCCGGTGGTTGGGGACTCCTGATTTATAGAATCCATCTAGCTCTATGGTGATATCGAAATCAGTAGCAGGACCCTCACACTCCAAAACCCTTGTCCAAGGTAGAATGAGAGTCAAACAAAGTGCTGTGAGACTGCAGGGGCAGGAGGGAGAACTTGTGATGGGGAAGGTTCAGGAAGGCTTCATGGAGCAGGTCGATAATAGCAATTACTCATTAGCATTTATGTGATACCTGCCACAAGCCAGGTACTGTGCTAACTGCTTGCTATTCATGGAGCAAATGCTGTATGTGTTCCATCTAGATCCCTTGGGATCCCTTTTACTCAGTTGGTGGACATGCCCGCCCCCCCCCATTGCTTTGGGCACTGCTGCTAGGGCCTCATACTTTTCAACTTTCTCTGATGAACTGGAGCCACCTTCCCTGGAAGTGACTAGGAGTTGTGCCACCTTCCCATAGGAGGGTCCATAGCGGATGCGGGATGAGGGTGGGAGGTGAAAAGGCCCCGCCCCCTTATCTGCAGATGGAGCAGTTGCCCCCCAGAGCTCCCATGGCTCAGGCGGAGGCTAGACATCACTGGCAGCCACAGGCCTCCTCTGCTTCTCCTCCTTCCCTAGCCTGCTCCCCTGCTCTCTTAGGGGTTTCTCCTGAGGGCATGCATTCCCTTAATAAATCACCTGAATGAAGAATTCCCATCTCTGGCTCTGCTTCTAAGGAAGCTGGTAATTCACGTTCTTAGAATAGATTAGACGTTCAGTTCCTGTTCTGGGTGATAAGTTACCCTGCCTGAGGGTAGGTGGATGCCTTTTAATTATTTCTGTTTCCTCTAATATCAACCATAGGGTTTGATAGGGGTTTATTAGCAGCTAAGAACAAAATAATTTGAACTGATTTTTTAAATAGGCAACTACCAAACACTGTACTTTGTCAGCGTGATTAAAGAGGAGGACGAGTCCTCCATTTATTAGGTTTGTCATCACCCCTTTTGTTCTCTCTCTGGAACTGTTAGTTTGGGACTTCCTATCAAATGTTGTCAGGTAAGCCTGTCTGGAGACCTGGTGCTTCGTCTCCTCTGTCAGGGGGCTCTGCAGTGGAGCATAAAAACTGCCAGTGTTATCCCTGCCACTGAACACTGAAAGGGACTCTGGAAGAGCTCTACCTGCTCACGAAATTCAGTCCCTCTGGGAGAGCCAGAGCCATTTCTGTCTTACTAGGCAAGTCCTCTTATGAGGCAAGTCTCCTTCCTGAGGCAACCTGGGGGATTTTCCCTGGTGGTTATTTAGCCTACAAAGGTTCTCGGGAAATGGGTAATTCTTTGCAAATACTTTTCATAGGCCTCTTACCTGAGAAAGTTACAGTCTTTTCCCTTCCTTGTAAACAACAAATATTTGATGATGCATCCTTGTACAGCCATCTGAATGCTTCGGGCACCTCCCTGAAAAGCGGAGGGGCAACAGTGAGGAGTTTACAGTGGTGGTGGAACCCTCAGGGCCCACGTTATAAAAGAGAAGTCTTGGAAATGGATGTCATTATTTATTCTTCTCGGCAACCTTTTCCCTTCTGGGACACAGCATCCCCTAGGCTTAGTGAAGGGCCACTGTTCTCTACATGTGCCACCGCTCCCCATGGGCTGTGGCCGGGCTAGAATCTGCAATGACTAGCTTCTCTGTGGAGCCCCATAGACTGGTACCCCGGGATGCCTGTCCCCCTCCGCCCCACCTTCACTGGGCTCGTGCCTCATGTCCAACCGTTAGATTTGCAGGAGGTAAGGAACCAGTCGGCTAGCTCTTGAAATTCTGCCTGGCTAGGGATCAATGGTTTGAATTATTGAGGTTTTAAACAAGCCAGAAAGAAACTCCTAGATCTCTTCCAGCCTCTAGATTCTTAGGAATGCTTAGGACCTGGAGAAAAGTGCCAGGAAAATGAAAATTTGGAAGAGAGTGGGGAGGAGTTTGAGACTTTGTGACTTCCTAGATAGCGTGTCATAATTTTCAACAGTCTGTTATCATTTAAGGTTAAATCTTAAATCGTCGATATGTTTCTACATATGATGATAATGAAAACATGCCTCGTATGGAGGAGGATGGAAGGAAACACAGACAGGGGGCATGGGATTAGGACTTTAAAAAATTATCACCTGGGCTTCCCTGGTGGCGCAGTGGTTGAGAGTCCGCCTGCCGATGCAGGGGACGCGGGTTCGTGCCCCGGTCCGGGAAGATCCCACATGCCGCGGAGCGGCTGGGCCCGTGAGCCATGGCCGCTGAGCCTGCGCGTCCGGAGCCTGTGCTCCGCAACGGGAGAGGCTGCGACAGTGAGAGGCCCACGTACCACAAAAAAAAAAAAAAAAAAATTATCACCTGCTATTACCTTTCCCACTTCCAAAGCGAAAGCCAGGTCAGAAAAAGGATCATGAAACCGGAAATAGGCCTTTGTCCAGTCAGAGCTGAAGACCTGGGCTGTATTTCCAAAGAGGACCTGGCGCAGTTTCTGAAAAGAAATGGTTCAAACAAGACACAAGCCCTCAGCAAACAGACTTAAGCAACGTGGTGAAACCATGGAGGAGGGCCTGTCCCCTTCCTAGAGTCAGGTTCACACATTACTCTATTCCCTGATTGTAATTGTCCAGCTCTGTGCAAAAGGTTTGCATAGGGTTCACTTAGGACATTTTATCCTGAAGGCTGAGAGTGTCAACTCTGCACCTTTTTATCCCCATCCGAGTTCTGTCTCTGTGTCTGTCTCACCTTCCATTGTCAGCCATCTTCCCTGTACCCCCTTAAGATCCATGACGGGTGACTACGCTCTCCTTATGGCTCTCATTCCTCTAACCATGACACTGTAATTCCTATCTCTCCCACGTTAGTGTCTTTCTCTCTTGCTCCAGAAAAAAGGAATAGGCAGGACTCTGATTCCAGCAGTCTGAGTACAATAGTGGTGTAAATTGGTATTAAACAAGCAGCCTCTGTTTTTTTGCCCTAGAATCTTTAAGTTTTTTTCTGGATACTCTGCAGCATGTTAAGATTGGAGAGGGTCTTTTAGAAAATCCCAGAAAATTGGGTACAAGCCTTTGTAAACCAAACCCGTGACAAAAAGGGAATCCCTTTATAATCAGAGGCATATTAATCATTCGGCTTGTGCTAGGTCCTGTGTGGGGTATGGGTATGGAGAGAGAACTTCCGACTGAAGTACTCAGGAAGGCTTCGCGGAAGAGGTGGCATTTAAACTAGGCTGGCAGATGGTGTCTAGCATTTACTGAGTATTTTCTACGCACCAGGCGCTGGGCTAAGTGCTTTGCATTCATTATGTTAATTCAATTCCTTGAGAAAAGTACTGTTATCATCCTCCTTTTACAGGAAAGTATTTGCCTAAGGTCACCCAGCAAGTCAGGCAGAGCTGGTATTCGTACCCATGCTAACACCACTGATCTGCCTCCCCAGCTTTAAGGTACCATCCTATAACTGCTGTCATTTTTGTATGCCAATAATTATTGAATTAATATTTCTCATTAGCTTGGGCCATTCTTTTATAACTTAGAAAACATTTATTTAAAGCATTTCTTTCTTTCTTTCTTTCTTTGTTTCTTGGTGGGGAAGTTGGCAGTTTCTTGTTTATTTCAAATCAGTTCACCATCATTAAGAGCTTACAAAGGGTCAGATATGTGCATTATCTCATTTAATCCCCATTTTACAAGGAAACATTCATTTAAATAAATAAATAAAGCGTTCATTTAAAAGGACACTTTATACCACATCCTTAAATGAGAATCAAAATCACTTGCCATAATAAAAAAAAATAGAGATATAACGATGTTATTAGATTATTGCTAGAAACCGTTGCCTGTGAAAGCTCTGACTGAGCCCTGCGCTCTTTGTAATTAAAAGGGAGATAAGAGGTGTTACAGAGGTGTGAATGTGTGCTGCCCTTTACCGGGTCTTCTCCCTGGCCTGCCAGAGTGGAGAAGGGGCTGACTTTCCCACGAGGTAACTCAGTGCTATTCCGTGTCGCTTACTGCCATATCCCCAAAGCACCCCATGCTCCAGCACAGGCACATGTCCCACACTCTGTGACAGACCACACAGTGGTCTGTCGCCTGTAAAGGCGGGGAGGCTGGGTAGAGAGAGAGATCTGCAAACACACACACATGGTACCAGGGTATCCAGGGACCGTGAGTGGTTCACTGGGTCTAGAACACTGTGTGTTCTGGGGCCCCAGGGCAGGAAGTCAGTGGAAGCTCAGAATGGAAAGTACCTTGGGTCTGATCCTGGAGGGCTTTGACTATCACACTCAGGCATTTGGAGCCAGCTGAAGAGTGTGGACAAAAGGAACATGGAGCCCAACCGGTCAGAGCCAGGGTACCTCTTCCCAGCTGTGCATAGCGTAGGCTCTAATGGTTTCCAAGAAGGACAGGTGCAGGAGAAACAAGCATCTGGAATGGTCTTCCCCATCTCAAACCAGGGTCTGGTTCCACGGCTGGAGTTTATTTCCTGGCCACCTCTGCACCCACCCTCAAAAGAAAAGATTGCCTCTACAGAGAAATAGAGACAGGTGCATTTCAGAATAAGCAAGAGCCTAGAATTGCACCTGAAGGAAAATTATCTGTCCAGTGGCCATCAAGGAGAGGGAGGGGAAGGCTGCTCTTGGGAGACACAGACTCGGTGTGCACCGCAACCAAAGAGGGCCACCAACCCAGGACATCCCCAGCAGAGCCCTGAATATGGACAGAAACTGTCTCCCTGACATCAAGACTGCACAGAAGAAAACTGCTCACTCCCGACTCCAGGGTTGAGAAGCCCCAGCTCTGCTTGGACATGCCGACCACATGAACGGGGACAGATTGTCAAACCTCTCTAAGGCTTTCTTTGCTTATCCTGAAATGGGGATAACCCCGGCTCTGTCCCCATCACTGAAATTGAAAGCTACCACTGCAAGAGGAGAAGTATGGAAAGGACTGTGGGAACCATAAGTGCTGTTATTACCTTTGTGAAAACACAGCCTGTCTACACTAGAACCTCTCATGTTGCATGGAAGAAAGTCCCAGCCCAGATGGAAAAAGCCCAGACACTGGCAGGGGTAAGGGAGGAGAAGCCATGGATAATGTGACAGCCTAAGATAATTGTGGCTGAGAAAGCTGAGAATTCAAATTCAATTTAAAAAGCTCAGTAAGCCAGATCAAACTCCCGTTTCTGTTGCCAGCTGCCCCCTCCAACTTAGGGAGAGCCACTGTCCAGATTCACCTCGGGAAGGCCTAGAACAGGGGGGCTGCAGGCTTCTCAGGGAGCCCCCAGTGTCCAGGGTGGCAACAGAGATGACTCACCTTACTTATGTAACACTGACTTTCTTTTCTTTTCTTTTTTAAATTTTATTAATTTAATTTAATTTAATTTTTTTGCTGTATGCGGGCCTCTCACTGTTGTGGCCTCTCCCGTTGCGGAGCACAGGCTCCGGACGCGCAGGCTCAGCGGCCATGGCTCACGGGCCCAGCCGCTCCGCGGCATGTGGGATCCTCCCGGACCAGGACACGAACCCGTGTCCCCTGCATCGGCAGGCGGACTCTCAACCACTGCGCCACCAGGGAAGCCCTCTTTTCTTTTTTTTTTTAAATTTTTATTGGAGTATAGTTGATTTAGAATGTTGTGTTAGTTTCTGCTGTACGGCAAAAGTGAATCAGTTATACGTATACATATACCCACTCTTTTTAAGATTCTTTTCCCATATAGGCCATTACAGAGTACCGAGTACAGTTCCCTGTGCTGTTCAGTAGGTCCTTATTAGTTATCTATTTTATATATAGTAGTGTGTATATGTCAATCCCAATCTCCCAATTTATCCCTCCTCCCAACACTGACTTTCATATCAGTATAATTTATAACAAGATTAACCTGACACATAGTCAGTGATACATGTATGTTGTTGTGCTGCCTGGTAACTAGACACAAATGGCAAATGGTCCTAATAAATGACTATAATGATTGTTATTACTTAACACAATCAGGCACGGTTTTTCTCTCTTCACTTTGTTAGTTTTCCAGGAATACCTCTCTTCCCTGATTGCTGTGGTGATGATAATGATGGTGATCATTCTCTCTCTCTCTCTGTTTCTCTGTCTCTCTGTCTCTCTGTCTGTCTCTCTCTCGCTCTCTCTCTCTCTCTCTCTCTCTCACACACACACACACACACACACACACACACGTCCTGGATCATTCTTCCCAACAGATTTCATTTCCTTACCCTGACTGCCTTGTCCATTGTCCCTGGTCTTAGAGGGACCTCTTGTGACCACCTGTCCCCGTCCAGTCCTCTCCCACATGCTCCCTGCCCACAATTTGAAGTAGAATAATTTGCTTTGAAGCTCCTTCCCTAAATCTTTTCCTGCTTTAGAAATTACTGGACCATCATGGAATCAGAGAGGTTAGAATTACTGCGTCCTAAGAAGACATTTCTAAACTAGCCCATCAAATAGAGTGGTAGTCTCTTTACCTGGTTGCGTTCACCATCAATTTCTCAGCATCTGGTGCAGTACCTGGTACCTAGCAGGCTCGCAAGAAGTAGTTGTTGAATTTTTAAAAATCGGATTCGGCTCTCGTTTTACAGTTAAAGGACTTGGGGCCCAGAGCAGTGAAGTGGTATGCCCAGGGTCACGTAGATAGTAAATGGTAGTGCCAGGAATCAAATGCAAGCCTTTCAACTGGTACCAGTCAGGGTCCCAGCAGGAAACAGATGGCACTCGAGTCAGGATAATTAACTTGAGGAAACTTTAATTCAGGGACCATTTACAAAGATGTGGGCTGCATGTGGGGCAGCAAGAGTGGCTAATGCAGGGCCCCAGGGTTAGCAAGAGTGAGAAGTTTTTATGTCGCTGACACCTGGAGGGGTGGAAGGGATGAGAGAGTCCTGGGAGAGGACTGCCTTCTGAGGAGAGGGATTCAGCCAGCTTTGCACACCTGACTTCATTCCCTTCCGTCCCTCCCGGCTCCCTCCAGGGCTCCCATTGGTCAAACTCAACAGGAAGTCAGAGGAGGGAGCCCTACTGATGGGGTGAGTACAGCTCAGTCTGCAGTGCAGAAAGCAGGGCGGACAGGGGTAGAGTATGCTTCTGAAGGGGCACACAAATGACACCCACTACCCTGTACAGCGATGCCTCTCTTGGGGATCACCCAAGAGGCAATGAATGAATGAATGAAACATCTACTGAGGACCATCTATCAGCCAGACCTATGTTGGGGTTACCAGGCTGTGCTTCCTGCTCCCCTAAAGCCAGCCCATTGCCTGTTACCCTCTATTAGAGCTTCATTTTTCTGGTTCTCTCCCGGAATATTTTGATCTCCCAGTATTACAGTTTTAATATGATCCTGCTGGGTGATATTGCAAATACACTAGGGGTTTGTGTATTGGCTGCGGATAAAAGAGGCAATAGGAATGTATTCCAGGCTGGGTCCTGCAGAAGGGCCTGACTGTGAAGGAGGATGAAAAACTCCTGCTGGTGGGAAGCACAGCGGGGGAGGGGGTGTTGCTGTGGAAGAGCCCAGAGGAGGACTCTCACCTTCTGCGATGATGCCACCTGGGCCAGCAGCCTTGCCTGCCGTTCATTACACCACATACACTATAAGACGTGCGGCTGGGGGAAGGAAGAACCCTGTGATACTGGAAATAGGGCAACAAAAGGCGAGAAACAGGAGAGCTGGGGAAAGCAAAGGGGCATTGGCTGTTTTGCCCACTCCCTACTTTCTCAGCAGATTCCCAGCAAAAAGCGTGTGCCAGTGTCAGGAAATCCTATGAATCGCAATTCC